CATTATTTATATCCAATTTATATTCAGTATTTATATCCAAATAATTTTTATCAATTATACCTTTTCCTCTACCATGTACAAAGAAGCAGGATTTCGCAATAATGTTGATATCAGCTTATAAACTCCTTCATATTCAGCTTTACTCCAATCCATACTATTGCTAAATTTATGATATGATGGTCCTGGACGGCCGCAAATTTCATCGACACACGCATGCAACAGCTTGATATAAATAAAATTATTATATGATACAGCCATTAATGCGCAAGAATCAATATTATTGTGATACTGACTTCTTTCAAAACGTCACTCTTTTCCTCGCTGAAGAGGCTAATGTATAACGATTGAGAGCTCTCCATAATTGCTATTTAACTGTAATTTCTTTTAACATATGCAGAGATTTATTTATAATTTAATCATTTTATCATTATTGACATAAAAATAGATTAGAATTTAAGTTCAGAACGCACAAATTTTATAAATATATATTTTTTGCACAATTTATTATTCGACATGAAAATTTCTTATTCGAATAGAATATTTTGAAGATGTATTTAATAATTGTAAATAGCAATTTTTAGTTTGCTATCCAAATGCACTGCACTATGCAATTTAGGTTAGAAAACCAATGCAATCGCGTTTGACATATAAGCGGTTTGTACACGTAGCGCTACTATGTGCCAAAATTTTCAACTCTTTAGTGAAAAACGTACTTACCAACAATTGTAAACGCTTGTTTTATGTAGTCTCTGTTAGATGGGGACACTTAACATTTTATCGTTTAAAATATTCGCGCAATTTTAAAGTATCGCTGCGTATAACTTCACACTAGAGTATGTAACAAGTTGTGTTTTTTTCATCAAATCTTTGCAGAAATTTAAATATTAGCGCAACTTCGATCAATATATCTCAAGAGGTAATATATTCTTGTTTTTATTAGCTACAGAGATTTAGAAATAATATCAATTACTTGCATGTAAAAATTGGCAAATCTATTCGTATTCTTAGAACGGGTGGAGAAGGTTAGGTTAGGTTAAGTGAAATTTATTGATGTGTTTGTTTTATTGATTTAATATTGATATATTCTCTACAATTTTAATGTTTTTAGTTGTTGTCTATATGACTTACATAGTTCACATGATCTACAAGCATCACGTTTTGTAATCGATGAGTTTTTATCCGCATTTTTTGTATTGTCGTTTACCGCATATAAACAATGCTGTTATATGATTTACATATTGTAAATTAGTAACGATACAAGTATGAGATACTATTTACATTTGCAAATTAATTTAATCATTAATTTTCTGATAAATTCATAGATTTTAAGAGAAGCAAGTTATAAAGATTATAAAAGTTGTTTTGCAAAAATTTAAAGATTGATTTTTGCAAATAATTAATAGTTTATAATTAAACGATTATTTTAATTTTAATGAAAATGAAATAATTGTAAATATGTAAGAAAGTAAATCTTATATAGTCTTATATAGTATTCGTTAGGTGGCGGCACCAGTAACGACTTGTAACATTCACTCAGTTTTGAAATATTACTGGATGCAATTTCACACTATTCGTACAGACGTTGTGTGTAACTATTTGTACTGTGATCTTTTTGCCAAATTTTCGCAAAAGTTTAGATATTAGCGTAACTTTGACAATATATTTTAAGAAGTAAGATCTTCCTGTTTCTGTTAGCTACAGAGATTTAGAAATAATATCAGTTATTTGCACATATACAAAGAGCACGAATCAATTTGAGTTTTTAGGCGGGAGGGGGAGGGGAAAAGGTGAGTGGAGAAGGTTAAGTAAAATATATTGACAGCATATTGACATGTAATTTCTTGTTTTATTGATTCGATATTAATATGTTCCTTTATACAATTTCATTGTTTCAGTTGCTGCCTACATCTACATGATTTACGTAATCTACATGCGTCGCGCTCTGCAGTCGGTGAGTATACTTTATTCGCACTTTTTCACCCTCATTTATTTAACATTTTCGATTGCTGTCATATTGATAAAGCATTGTATATGCCTCACGTGCATACAAATAATATCCATGGCTTGATTATAAGATTCTTGATAAATCTATAATCGATTTTACAATTTTAATTAACTGATTTGGTTTCTACTGTCTTGTTAGATAAATGAAGGTTAGGTTATAACGGAAAGCTGCAGATTCACGAATGCACTCTTCGCGATTGCGAAGGGAAGAGCTGATTATAATTCCATATATCGGCTCTTATGATATTTAATACGATTATTACGTATATATATATATATATATATATATGTGTGTACGAATAGATATATATAATGTAAAAGCGTAAAAAAACTTGTTCAAGGCGCGCGAGTAAAACGCTTTCACTACAACTTCAATCTTGCGCTGACAAGTAACGCGGCACATACGCGCGCTTCTTCTCCTCTCATGATTTAAATAGTTCCTTAACTTAGAAGTTCAAACGATCCACGATTTTCCGGTAGCTTTATCGAGAAATGCGAAACACCCGTTGACACTTATCCGGAGCACTCGTTCTTCGCGCGTCTTGTCGTTCGTGTAGAATGTATTACTTTATTCTAGAAAAAGTTTAAATATATATAATAGTATTTTGGAAAAAAACAGATAAAAGCTTCAAAGCCGCAAATTATAAAAAATGAAATATATTAAAATTTAAAAAGTAAATTGGAAAAAGCTATTTATTAAAAATAAATTTCAAAGAGAGAAAATGAGAAATAATTAATATTGTTTAATTTCATATATATTCTCAAGTTACTATGTAATTTATATAGTCTCAGGATATGATATAGAGTCACATAGTAAGTAAGCGACGATATATTAACAATTCAACGACTATAATATTTCTCGCAGACAATCGCATAGTCCAAACACGCACATTTAGAATTTGACGCACACAATTGATCTACCTTAGCTCTTTGTGATTTTGCTGTTTTATTAATAACATAGAAAATACAAAGTTACAAATACGCGGCTACAACGTAATGTTAAGAGCTTTCTTCGTGTTACATCACCTGCATAGAGACGCAAAAAGAGTGCGTCCAGTTGTTACATCTACTGATTAAATATTAAATTAACGAATGTGGCGTATATTAATGCTCGATTAAATACAATAAAGAGATTCTATCGTATAACATACAAAATGTGGATACATTAATGATCTGTTTCAATTCTGCGCGATCGCTCGTGTCTATATTCGGATTTCACTATTTTAATCTATTACATTCATAAATACGTTTTAGATAAAACTGGTTTACATTTATATTTATATAATCATGTCTAATTAATAGAATTAACAGAATTAGAAGGATAAACTTAATCATCCTCGCGAGATTTAATGAATAAAGAGTCTCCTCACGCAGAAGGAAAACAGCATCTCAGACTAGGCTCGCGTCCGAGGTCTTCTCAGCGTAAACTAAAGACAAAATTATTATTAACTTAAAAGACTTCTCAGATCGCACCTTCTCGGATCTATATAATTTCGAATGGCGATATTATTTCGTGCGATTTTTTAAAACGAGTTTTTTCCGTCGACGAGATTCTTGCTCAAAAAACAGTCTTCTTTAACGAGTTTCCTTAAAAAAATTATTACTAAAAGCATTTCATCTTCACTGGTAATTTTGCAATGTAATTTATATCATTTTATCTTGAAAATTGCTTCAGAATTATATGAAATATTATTTTTCTTTCATTTCAAAATCCGATAATTGAATAATGATTTATTCATTTTCACATTGACGCTCTAAAATTATCCACATTACTTTTAACCCTTGGACGGCGAATCGCCTGACCGCCAACCGCACGGCGGATACCGGATCCATTCGAACTCAAGTGAAATTTTGTTTTACACTCCGAAGACAGAAGATGGGGACGGGAGGTAGGATATTGTTTTGTCTCGAGCGAAGTAAAACGACTGCGACATAACAGTCTTCCGGGACTGGGTCTGAATGGAACCGGTTAATATTCGCCGGGCGAGAGTTAAACATTGAAATACTATTTTATTCTGTCCCCCGCGACGATCACTGGTATCGAAAATCGACGATCACTTATCACTTTGTATCGTTGATCGCAATAGAAAAGAAGAAAGAAAACGACGACGATACACGCGTACGGTCTAGACAGCGACGTACATTTATACAGAATAACACGCGGGGTACACGTACATATATAATGAGTCTCTCTGAACGAAGGCACTTGAAAAAAAAAGAAAGAAAAGAAAATGGCACCATCGGTTTCTCGCGCGCTTTAACACGCTAGCTTCGTCTTCATTGGCACGGCGATCGCATCTTCGTCTCCTTCGCTATCTACTATCCGCTATCCACTGTAGCTCGTCGTATTCTGTATCGATGATTGAGATGCGTGCGATCTATGGCGTTGAAAGTGTCTTTTTTTTGCGGACACTTGCCTCGCAACGACGCATACTCGCCGAATTCGCAGTTGGGTGAGGCGCATTCATTATTCTGAATGCATCTGTGATCAAAAACTTTAATATTATCAAGCCTGGAGTTAGTCAAAACATTTTGTTGAAAAAGCGTTCAATTTTATCGCGGCAGAGTCTTTGCAATAATTAGTAGAAGAGATTAGTAGAACAAGCGTGTTTGTTACAATTCCACGTAAATCTTTGATAAAGTGCAATTAAAGTTAGATTCGAGTATTGGATTAAATTAAGCGTTAATTCGCAAAGCGCAGTTATGGTGAAATTTTGCGGCGCGACGTACAAATGGAGCTCACTATTTTGTCTTGTAAATGCCGGTGATTAGTATGTAGGTGCCGCGGTGTTGTTTTACTGTCGCACTTTTAAGTGCGTGCCTGTGTATTGAAATACATCGCGGCGAAGTGTGTCGCGAAATTGCAACGGTAAAGAGCGCACAGTCATACTCACATTCTGTCCGCGAGAGATAAGAATGCCTTTCCGCGTCTCGTCTTTATGCAATTTTGATTGTTCTCGTTGCAATTGCACTGACAGATGCCTTCCAATGTCATCCTCGGCATAAATTGCGATGGACATCGACATCTGGAAATTTTTTTATCGCACAATAATTATATGACAAGCAAACATCCTTATTTTTCGTTTAATCAGTTCGTTATATTAAATGCAAAATGATACGTTAAAAAACATAGCAGTAAGTTGGAATAGTTCATATAATTGATTGTTAAACAATTGTAACAAATTTACGTCTTTCTCGGCGGCGATCTCTCCATATTTTGAGGCGGCGACGTAGATTGCCGGTACACTGCCTGGTCCGCGGATTTCTCGTTCATCGTGCCGTACTTAGATCTCTCCCTGCATTCGCATTCCGTATGATTGTAGAACGACAGCTTTTCTACTATGCTGGCAGCATCCACGTTCGTGGTCTGCAATAAAATCAGAAATAAACATCAGTACAGAACATTGAAACGCGCGCGATACGCATAATCGAACATCGTAAACGATACATTATGCTTAGAGAGGGTCGAAGTGCGCTTGTAGCACGCGTTGGTGAATATTGGTTCTTTTATTCTTTTATTTATGTGTTAATATTTACTTACTTTCCGCAACGCGGAAATGGTTACATGGAGAAGTTTCGCTATGTAGCCTTAAGTAAATATCATTACTTACGACGACATCGCAAAGTTAGGACTACGCCGTATGCGTACGCAATTTTGTAAATAATATTCCATACTGCAGGAAGCCACCCAACTTTATTCTTTCGTTATTTGTAGCTACACAAAGTATCTTGGAATTGTCGTCCTTCTTAACATCGATTTCTTGATTTAAAGTCAATCTCCAGAGAGAAACGACAATAATTGTGAAATACTTTGTACAAATAAGTACCCTTTGCAAAACGTTTCATCGTTAACATACATCGATTAATTGGATCGATACTCTCGCATCGGTTATAAATGTCAGTCGAGCGTCATGACGACAACGCCACGCTAACGAGAGCAATAAGAGGAGAGACTGCATAATATTACGCAGTGTTTAAAAAACTAGACGATAGACACTCGTATACGCGACCCGGTTCTAATTGGGTTCAATTAACCTGACTCACTTTCTGCTCCTCGCCGTACAACAAACTAGACATTTTACCGACTGACACGCTGTTAGCGCAGGAGCTATCCGTATCGCCGGGCCGTATTTAGCCCGCCTTTAATCGGCTCTAATTGCCCTGAGTCATTACTTGCACATACCGATTTCCGCTCGCGTGTTTTGATCGGTCGGTCGTTGTCCCAATAATTGACGCGGAATTGATATTCGATATAAATAGACGCGCGCGATCGCTCGATGTGACATCGAAGTGACACTCAGCTTTGAAGAGAGCATATGTCATTAAAACACGATTAAATAATCACACAGAAACTTGATTATTCGAATCTGAAATAATAATCGCGCATTATCCGGGACACTCTATTCATAGACTCGATTCTCTACTACTCGCTCTTGCCGGAGGTCCATTATAGCGTTTTACTACTTATATCTTCTACGGAAAGATGGACGGGCTAGGCGATCGATTTTCTCCCTGCTCGTTAAAATGTGAAGCAAACTTGATCGAGTGAACGCGCAAAGAATAAGAATCCCTTGGTTAATTGAAAGTTAGAAAATCACCTGCGAGAGAGAAACTCTGAGGGGCTGACACGCGTCGCATCGTAAGCGACTAGGACGCTCGTAATTACACCATTCTCGTGATTGGCAACGGGCTGATGCGCATTGTGCGTGATAGAAAGCTCGCTAACGCGACCCACGGGGTTACGTCGCGAAGCAAAAATTTGTGGCGTGTATTATTATGCGTTTGAAAATCAACGTATACAACCGTTCGCTACAACGACGAGACTTCGTAACGGCAGAACGCGGAAGCACAAGAGTGCATTATAAGTTCAACTCTTGCGTTCGTACTGTATTATGCGATGCGAGAAGGAAGAGCGTTTTTGTCGCGATATCGATTGAAAGCGAATCGTAAGACCGTAAAATAGAGAAAATATTGAAATTTATTTTACAATTTAAAAATATATTCCCATAAAAGCAGTTATCTTCGATCCGGTGAAAATATTTTGACAGTTTCTGCGATCTCACACGCGTGGAATTCAATGAATATTTATTACGTTACGTAAAATCTGTCGATCTATGAGTTAATACAATCGATGCAAAAGTACTCCCGCTAAGTGGGTCGTAGTACTCGATCATTAAGATCGATGACAATGAGCTAGCGGAACGACACGCTACGATTGTGTCCGGCCGACGGTGATCAGTCGCGGTTAGGATTTTATTTATGAGATTTCGCGGCGCGAGGTGCGGTAATCACGACGTGTTGCGCGCCGCTCAATTAATGCCCTTTCGCCACATGGGGGCAGCACGAAGGTACGATTGCGACAATCATTTCTCGCGATGTCATTAACATCGTTGAAGGTAGGATTGCGACAGCCGTTTCTCGCGGCGTACATGAAAAGCGGAGAAAAACTCCGCAAGACAATTCTATCCATTGCCTATGACGAACGGTACTATTACTTTTGCCGTATTTCCAGCTTATTGTAAAAAATAAATTCGATTAAAAATCAGATGGTTTTTTTACGAGCGGTTTAAATGCGCCGTGAAGCACCGCGAAACAGGGATCAGTGTACGACAAATTGCATTGAGAAGAATTGCGTGGGATTTCTTTTTGTCTTGATAAAATGCGTGGCTCTTTGTAATACGAGCTGCATCCGCGGGGCGTTCTCCGTCTTTCTCCGACGAGCTCTGTCAAGTCGGTACACAAGGATTGAGATTCGCGATCGTCTCTGACGAATGGCCTGGCTGAGGAATCGTGGTCATAAATTTTATCCCCAGTACCGTACGTAGGACGTCCCACGGAGAGAGTGCACTCACTTTTGAAATTACATAATATCATTCTTACTATTTATTATTTCAAGTGCATTTGAATATTCGAGATTACTTCATCAGTGATGATTTTAATTGATACAAGTCTTTGTAAGGTTTCAATTTTATCGCATTACTCTGGATTCATTTTAATAGGTTTGAATTAACAACACAAAATTATTAATGTTGAATATGTTTATACTGGTTTATTTTTAATCAAAACGAGTGTTCATCGCAAGTTTCGTATATTGCTTCGCGTGCTTTCGACATTCAAAGGAGAATAATGCACTTCCTAAAGGATACATCTAGTCGGTAGGACGGTAGTAGCGTGGTACGAGATTCCTTCGGTTTCGTGTTGCAGAATTTTTGCCGAAAGGCGACGGTGTGAAACTGCGCGGATATATTTACGAGGTGTACTAGCGCTTACGACTACGCCTGTAGTATAGTCAGCTCAGAGTTGTCGCCGATAGCGATTGTGCAAGTTTTGCAGCGTGAACAGTACTTAATCATTCCGTGCTCGTGTTCGTTAAGTTTTACAAATAACTCGGCGTAATTTACGGCAATGAAAATTACACGACATGCCAGCAACACGATGTTTATTATCAATCAAGTAATAAAGTCACTCTGAGATCGCTGCCGAAATATTTTATTTTGCATTTCTCGATGTTGTAACTTTTCGCATGTAGTTATAATAATCGTCCTGCATAATTGTAACGAGCGTAGGAAGTGGAACGTTCCGAGAGACGCGCGATTTCCATAATGCCATAGAGATGGGCTGTTTGCAAGAGCGTTTCTTCGAAGGTTCGCCGTGAGTCATCTCGCGGACCATAGCGAATTCCGGAATTTAATTTCCACGAGGATTATCCCTCTTGCGGGATCGGAGCAGCTGACCGGTCGCCTCATTAACATTCGCAGTATCTTGCTTCGGGCGCTCGTTCCTGAATGAAACACAGGAACCCGGCACGAAATCACGCGCACGCCGGAGAGATCGGTGAACCGTGTCGAAGGCACGTCTTTCAAACAAATATTCCGTATTTCTCGCGATTTTTCGACATTTGTTGAATTAATATTGTGGCTTTATTATATTAAATTTATACTGTCATAATTTTGCAAGCAATATATTTGTTTTAGCATTTGTTTTAGCATTTAATTCTGAATTAATTTTTCTAAAATTTTTATAGATTATATAATTTAATTCTAATTTTTCAAATTTTTGTTATATGCCAACACACACACATACGCGTATTAATATACAAGAGGATATAGTTATAGGTATAATCTTCCGAGACCTTTTCACACTTGATTTTACCGAAAGCGACCTTTCCGCAAATCGCCGTATCATCAAATGTTGCGAGAACCCGGTGAAATTAGCAAGATAATCATGAGAATAAGATAAAAGTAGGAATCAAAATAAAATAAAATAAATGTTTTATCGCGAAGAGTTTACAGGCAATAGTAATTTTCATAATATTTAATTTCGAGAATATATCGCGCTACACTAAATTTTTCATCGATTTTCCGTGATATTTTCGAATTAAGAACAGTGGAGTATGTAATACATATGAATCTTACCTAGGTACATCGATCGTTTATTAATAAAAATAAAATAATACTGTCTTTCGCGAGATTGTGTGAAATTTGAAATATATTACGCATGTAATATTGAACATGATTATATGATATATTTGCGGGCACAGTTATCACATATTAACTATAGCCATTAGCTTGAATTTATTATATATGATGAGTTGTGTACGCGTAGCTATGAAAATTCCTCTGTTATTTTCAAGTTTGGCTGGCGCGCGGCGCTAGATGTTTGTTTTGTTTTGTATGTTATCTATCGCGTAGCGAGTTACCTTGCGACTTTCGCACGGCACATTCGTATGGCGACATTCAAGTAAATACGTGTAGTAAGAATTGCTCCGTATTTTTATTTTATTACGTATTGAATTGTAATAGAAGATTATTCTTTACTGTCATAATGATACGCGTACGCGTTATTAATCAGTTTTTTTTATGAGTAACTTGTAATAATAATGAGTATCGAAATATTTGTAATATAATTGCTGAAAAATATGAATATATAATATTTTTCAGCGCGAAAAGAAAGAGCAGCTTGACGAAAAGAAGGATAACATTGTCGCGGTAAGCAGCGGATTCGTTCAGATTCGCAGTTCCGTATGATTTTTTTATCGTAACATAATGAAACGCGCGTCGGAAATTTCGCGAAGTATCACGCGAACGTTAAATAAAAAAACGCGTGCCGGGAGTATCGTACAGTGTCGCGCGACAATGATATCGAATTCTACGCGTTATTCCATTCATACGCGCGCGATCATATGAATCGCGAGTGTAGTGCCAGCAGAAGAAGGCCTAGGGGGCATTAGGCGACGGCAAAGCAACCCTGGATAAGAAATTTATTATTTATGTAATATTTTTTTGAAAATTATATATAACTCGTTTATTAAATATCTATTTAAAAGACGAATAAAAAATTAAATGCACGCAATAATTATTTTTACAATATTAATTAATTTGAACATTATTATAATATGATTTTATTTGTATATTACAGATAAACGACGAGACACTTCCTGCGCGATTGCTGCGAGTCATCCACCGGTAAGTGACACGATTTGTCACGTCTTTATTTTTTTAAGGCAATAAATCTGCAAAAATTATATTAAGTATATATGTAAAATAAATTAGAAAAATTAAAAATATAAAAAAGTTTATATTAAGAAGATAATAATATTGAAGAAACATACAATATCTTAGATTTATTGCCTTGAATTTTATATGGCATATTTTCAACATTCATTTAAATGGCACACATGGGTCAATTGCATTTAAACTGAATTTTGTATTAAAGTGTGAAAATGTACATATATGTTGTATTATCATACATTATTTATATATTGATTTATATATTATCTATATATTGAATGTATTGAATTTATGCCGCAGCGCTTTTGCGCGCGATATCGAATTCTTTATTGATCTGTTTTATTGTTTAAAAATATTCTTCAATCGGTTCTTTTAAAGCTCTATCGCATAAATTATACAATATAATTTTAAGTTTAAAAACTCCGCGGACGCGTACACATTCTATCACGTGGCTATCGTATGCTATCAAAAGACTATTTCATATTGTAGATATTATTCTTTCATAATCAGAGAGAATATTGATTTAGGTCCGGTTAACAGCGTTTGCCTCTTGTCATTGTAATAAAAGTGTCTATCAAACAGGTGACGGCAATAGACGCCACATATCGCATGACTATCTCATACACAAAGTTATCAGGTGTCTCGAGTGTCATAAATGATTGTCGCATCTTGAGAAGTGCAGACTAAACAACGTCAACGCACAGAGTTGTCGTTCTTGCGCTTTTGATATACTCTGTAAATGATATTAACCGGAAATAAAGTACCTACATGAAATTTTTGATACGCGATATTCAATTACAAATATATTTGAATAATTTAAAATCGGCATTGTACGATAATTTTTTTGAGAGATTTGCTTAGCGTTATAATCATTAAAACATTTCTTTCGTACGATACATGAACGATGAACACACTAGGCAATGCAATGTTCGTTGCGCGAACCGTATTGACCGCACGAAACGTCAGACAGATAATGCCCTGTCGCTCTCTTCGAAACGTAACGAATTCTCGATTAATCGACTCGTTCGGGTAGGCAAACTGGCGTGGCCTCCCGGCAACAATAATTAATTTCTGGCATCCGACGGTAATTAAAAGACGGCTCGCTTCGTCATTGCACCCACACGGCCGGCATCGAGTGAAAGACGCGCGTGAGCATGCGGGATTACAATACGGCTTTGTGCGCTCACGCTGGTGTGTAATTAACATACAATATTCTCGGAGCAGGGAGGTCCGTTTTTCAGATGGAGAATCAAGACATTTAGTTCTTAAGAACGGCTCGGAAATATTAATCCGCTAAGTATCATTATTTCACGCAAAGATATAAGCTGTTAGAGAGGAGAAAAAAAAAGTTGTATAAGTTATATTATCTTTCTTAATTAGCAGGCAAAGCAATATATCTGAAAATAATATATTTCCGCTTCTGTTCCTAAAGAGCCATCGCGAGTTAAGTTCTTGAATTAATTTCAGTAGCTACACGTTTATTCGTGGGTGTGCTTTATTAGCATAATTTATTAACGACATAAACGTGGATAGATTCAAAATGCAAATCGGTCGTCGCCCGCTAGTTCTATGGTTGTCGTTTCATGGTAGATGGGAGACGATATTACTGTATCCAATGTCCGTCAACCAGTCTCGATCTCTGATACATGGTATCTTTCTCTAAGCAATATCATTTTACACATTGAGGCTCATTCGTATTTATCAGCGCTTTTTTCTCCTTCTTCTTTGAAACTCAAAGCTAGGAACTCACTATAGATTCATATCTTCATTCGATTTCATATTATTTTATTACAAGACCTTTTTCGATACTTCTAACGTTTTAGCAATACGACAAATACAATATATAACTTTTATTCAATATTTCACATAAAAAACTAAGCTTTTTTTATACTACTTTATGGTATTATATATTTACGTTGAAAGAAATATTTGATATATATATATATGTTTTCATTGCGTGTCTTTGACTCGCGTTAGATTTTCACGGGCACGCGCGTAATAAGTGTTAAGACTGATTTGCATGTGCTTATTGATGGGCGTTCCTACATCCACGATCGAGATCTTTATCACGTTACCGTAATGTCAAGCCCCCTCCGGCGAAGAGATTACACGGGAATTAGCTATGACGGTTATCGGAATTAGATCGCGCGTCAATCTCTAATTGTAGCGCGGATGGAAAATCGAGTTTGCACGCTATCAGAGCAGCGAGACAAGTCCGTCTTCGATGCTCGTGTTTCGATAGACCGATACTTCATCCGTTTAGTTACGTTAGATAGGCAAATCAAGTTTGTTTTACAAATAGGCGTCGTAAATTCGCTCGGGAGACAGCGAGAAACTCCGCGACTGTAATTAATTACAATTGTATTCCACGAAGACAGGGCGTATTTTTGCAGAAATTTATCGCACCCGTGAACGACTTCATTGACTTGAGCTGCTCAGCGACATGGGTCGTATGTAACTTCAGTAATTTTGGTTGTTCCGCGATAAAGTCGTCATAAATCAACGCGCGTCTGGGTCAGCGCAGTTCGCGTTCAACCTGTTCTGAACCAGATCCGAATCGCCGTCGGCGCGACTGAGGATGTGCGCTGGCAGCTAAAATGACTCTGTCAATGTGAGCAGGTTGTCTCCTTGCGCCACTAAATACAGGTTTCTATCAACTTCCGCGATTTCTATTTATTTGATAAACGTCATACCGCGTTATCAGAGTATTGACCTTATCGGTATCTAAATATCGCAGCTGCATGATCAAATAATTTTCCTCTCAGAAGTACCTCCTGTCATTCAAATTCAATTTTGATTTCAATTTGTAATTTCTCGTATGATGAATGGGAAAATATTATTACGCTTGTAATTAGTCAACGAATTGATGAAATACACTAATGCGTACCATTATCTGTCCACACGTGAATGTTTTTAACAAATAGCACCCCTCGTTATTACGTTTGTTACGGCGATATGTTAACACCGCCGACTGCTTAGGTAACTTTTTTCTTCGATGACTGATTCGTTTGTGTATATATGAAACAGTGACTCGAGTCTCAGGTACGAAGATTCTTGGAATATTGATTAACGATACCTACTTCCCATGTCTTGCATCGGATAACGATCGGTCCGAGTCATGCCGGTTCTGTAGTTCCGCGGCGCGTATTAATTAACGTTATACGGCCAACCGGTTCACTCTCGTGTTGCCGGTGGCATACGTACTGTCGACACGTTAAGTATACGTAGATCCGTATCTTAGCGATCTTTGAAAAACTTCTAACAGCATGATGTAGGAGAAAAAAGTTATAAAACTATAAGAATCTATTAATTTCTAAAAGTATTTTGTGATTAAAAAATACGCTTAGCATTTTTTGTATTCTTTGCGCAATCTTTCTAATATAATTTATTAAGTTTTTTGAGGCAACATCGTGCATATTTAAAAAAAAAATTTATTTTATCGTTATTGCACTTTTGTTGTTAACAGAGTCATAACGTCAAATGAGATTTTTACAATCGCATGGGTAATTAGATGCGAGCAGTGATATGAAGCTAGATTGACCGTTCGCTTAATTAGCATAGTGCGTTAATGCAGCCGGTAAATTTATCCGTACGGCACGAGCGCGCGCGGCCGCGGAATGCCGTAAAACTTTTTTCGCGACGACTCTCCCGCTCATCAGGATGCGTGTGCAATGCGCAGCAAGAGAGGAAGTTAAGCGCGGGAGCATTTCACTCTTTTTGTTCGAGTCCGGCGTGGAATGTGCGGCCAGACGCGCATGATGCAGCGACGATGCGATGCGTTATGATGCGCAACCGCGCGCGTGTTACGCCGGCCGGTCAACGCGGTAAAAAGCGCAGAAATTAGCAGCGCGTTCGCGTTTTACTCACTCGAGAGAGACCGACTGACTCGTCTTCGGAATCTCGATCCCGATCGCTTCGAAACTTTGCGATTTCGAAGTCAATCGGTGTGTAAGGAATCGGTTGAAGAATCATGGAAATGCGAGAGAAAACTCGAACAGGAAACGCGGAAAAAAAGTAACCGGCTGTTGTCGATGTGCGATAATAAAAATTAGTTACGTATAATCATAGCATTTAATTATTAATTTTGTTTACTCCATGAAATTATGAAATAATTATGATCCATATGAAACTAATTATGAAATAACATCAAGCTAAGATATATTGGTCTGTAAGATTTTGTCTGCAAGACGTCTTCACCATGGCGTAACTCCGGGCTAAAAAAGCATGTAACCGCGAAAAAACGGGGAAACGAAAGTATTTACGTAACGAATACCTTCGGGAATTACGAAAATGTTGCAATTACGTTTTACAATTCCGCTGGATCGGCCAACTTGTTTCCGAAATTGATAATGCCGATGCGAGTAGCACAGATTTAAAAGTCAATCGTGTCGGTGACAGAACCAGTTCTTGCATCGACTGCGGTAAGATTCACGAAGATTGAAAACGGGTAGGCGAACAGAGAGAGAGGAAGAGAGAACGGAACTACCGGAGAAACAGCCTCCGATCGATGGTTCTCTTAGTGAATGGACGGAATAATCGGAATTGCGCGCGTAGTATGGTCGACGATTGTCAAGCCGAAGGTCAACAAAATGTAAGATTAAGTACGAAGAAGGAAGTTGCTTGTGTATCGCGTTCTTTAACAGAATCGCATATGCATTAATAGCTTTGTCGTGATTTACAGGCGATTTAGCATTATTCTGTCAGGGATACTGTGATGTTTCGAACGTCATACAGATATCATGTGGAATTACTTTTCATGTCAAAATGTCATTTTCAATGGGATTTTTTCTCGCGTAATCTATGAGTTAAAGCGGTGGGAAATTAAGTGCCGTTGTAAATTTCGGTTGACATGATACAAAGTGCATCATAAGGGTCGTACGAGTCATGGCTTTACGCGTCAAAACATGGTTTGTGACCGTTTGACGGCTAACTAATCTTGATTCAAGTTTCCAACTTATGTTGCTATCGCAACGATTATCTCTCATTATTGTCGCTAATTTCCCCATTATGTTTACTTATCTTATTCGCATCTCTAGGCTCGTGAGAGTCAATAATCCATAATTTGCTATTTAATTTTTAGTTTTATTACAATAGTTTATATTTTTATTTACTGATTGTAATTTTTATATCTTTTCATTTTCTATTTTTGAAAAGACTGATCAATTTTTAATCTAATATTCCGTCGATATTGTCATTTTTCACGTGGTATTGAGATAGGTGTGCGTACACGGAGGCCGCGTATTAACTTTCGGCGGATTAGCTACAGGCGAGTTTTAAAGTAGCTGAATCGGATGCCGTGTACCGTCGATAAATCTATCTTAATACCATCGGACGGCGGATGAAGTCAGCTTAATATCATGGATTCACCTCCGAGATTACGGTGGAAAGTTTACGAGTGCGCCCGAGGGTGACAGGTGAAACTTACGCGAGTCCGATCGATCCGGACGAGATCAATCATCGCGCGGCACGATTATAAATCTAGTTTTTTTTTGTGTACACGAGTGCCAACGATATATTATACTTCAGGGGCTATTATTTTCCCACGGCGAGTATTTTATATTTCGATTTAACCGAGATTACGCGCCGTCGGCACGGTTTGCTCAGGAACGATATCAAGTCTTTCTATTATCCGCGCGGCGGGACTTTTGCGCGAGAATTTACGCGATTGAACAGCGACGTCCGACAGGAACGTATATTCGTGCGAATGTGAGATAATTGGATTCCCCGATACATTGCACGTTCGTAATTGCAAATGGTTCTATTAAGCGAGCGCGTTTTAGAACCGCGAAATGACTACATCTACATTACGCATGGCGTAATTGATCTTAACTCCAGACAGATAATGGTTATTAATCGCAGGAATTATTAATTTCATCTTCGAGCCATTAAGTGCCTGCACGCACGCAATTCAAGATACTATTGCTTTCGGTAACGCATACCACATATTACAATTTGGATTATGCGAATAACAGAATTATAAAGAATGTTAGTGTAAAAATTCAGATGTAGAGACAACATTATTGGTACGTAAAATTTAATCATGTGTTTAATTGAACTATTTGTTTTACGCAAATATACATATAATTTCCCAATCAAACGGAATTATCATCAGCCATAAAACATTCTGTAATCTCAAAGTCGAGTATAAGCCGATTAGATTTATGGGTTTAATTTGTGTTTGAAGGCGTTGCAATATAGTACGCAATATACGCTCCAGCGTAGGGCGCAAAATTGGGAGGAGCGCAAAATTGTAATAGACATGCTTCAAAAACAATTGATATTTATTAGATAAAATTTTTTGGATGTCATTGTAGTATAAATGTATTTGTATATTTTACAGATAAACCTTCGCGCTTCAAATCGTTATATTCGTTCCGCCGTAATTTCGTAATATAATAAAACGTGCGTCGGGAGTGCGGAAGTGCGTTATTCCGGGAGTGGCGTGATAGTTTCGCGCGAGTACGAAACGCCGAATTTTAGCGAATCGTATAGACGAACATATTTCCGCCGCATGCTACGACAAATATTGGGACATGATTTTCTTTCGACTTTGGGCTTGGCTCGAGGGAGAAAAGGAAACTAATCGCACCTTAGCTTCTTCGAGCTTACGTTTTGCTCTCTGTTTTGAGAAAATCGTGCCTCAATTGGTAAATACAGTCGTCTGAAACGTGGACGAAATTCACGCGTAACGTCGCAATAACTAATATAAAATGCGCGTCGGGAGTTCCGTTTAAAGTGCCGTGCGATTTAATAATTCGCGTCGCGAATGTGTGTGCATACTTTGAAGACCACTGAGAGAAGGAGGAGGCTCAGGAAGAGCATCAGGCGTCGGCGGAGCAACGCTTAGGTAATTATTCATTTATTTGTTATTCGCAAAATATTGCATATAAAATATTATATAATGTAGCGCATATAAAATATTTAAAATACTTTAAATATTTAGTAAAATATTTATAATAGTAAATTAATATTCACCATTTTTAGAAATTTTTTACATATTATTTCAACTAATTAAACTTTTTTCTTTATTCAAAAAATATATTTTTGAAAATTTTAATTCTTTGTTTAGACGTGCATAAATAAACGAATATAAAGTTTAATGTGCGCAGTAATTATTTTATAAATATTAATTATTTCAAACACTAATCTGCATTTATTTTTTTATTTTACTGATCAACTTTGTGCGCGTAATCGGTGCTACAAAATATATTCGTTCCGTCGTATAGTATAACAAAATGCGCGTCGGGAGTGCCGTTAATGCCGAGAGTTATAGCGAATCTATAGATGAACGCATTTTTGCTGTATGACAAATATTGGGACACGATTTTTTTTGACTTTAGGCTTGGCTCGGGGGAGGGAAAGGTCGGTTTCAATCATAAAATCTCCACTACGGCAGGGCAATCTTCGGTTCTACGTGCAGCGCGCTAGTTGCACAGATAGCCGGACTGTCGAAGGTAGTCGAGGACGGCTACCGGAGTTAGTCAAACGCTACCGATTGCTTTTCAGATGCCTTGTATCTAGTCGGTTGATTGGATGACTAATCACCTCATCTTCTTCGAGCTTATCTTTGCCTTCTGTTTTGAGAAAATCGTGCCCCAATTGGTAAATGTGGTCGTCTGAAACGCGGACGGAATTCGCGCGTAACGTCACAGCTTGGACAATTCGGTTCGATTCGCCTGTGATGTCGGGAGTGTCGTTTTAAGTATCGCGCGATTTTCGTATTCAGGTACGCATGCGAGCAATGCATGCGCCGCGAACGCGTGAAATTCAATGTGAGTGCTTCGAAGGACCACTGAGAGGAGGAGGAGGCTCAGGAGGAGTATCGGGCGCCGGCGGAGCAACTTTACGGTAAGCAATAATTCATTTATTTGTTGAAAATATTGTACACATTAAAATATTTAAAAGACAAAATATTTACATTAGTTAATATTCATCATTATTAGAATTTATTTACATATTTATTTTTATTTTAATAATTAAACTTTTTTTAATAATTTTTTTATTCCATATTTGCTTACAAAAAGAATTAAAAGTTTAATGTACTCAATTATGATTTGATACATATTCATTACGAGCGCAACTATAATCTTGATTTTCGTATTTTACAGATCAACTATGCAGATCAACAAAACGACAACTCCGCTGCTGCGCATCGATCGGTGAGTGAGTTTAATTTGTCTTGATTGTTATTAAGATAATGGATCTATAACATACATACTATAAAATTTAACATTGTAGATCGTACATGATATTGATTTTATAAGCATACAATATAATATTATAAGCATAATGATATACAAGAATGTTATAGATAAAATAGATCCATTATTTTAAAATGGATGGGCTAGGACTTGGTGGATTCGTTAAATATTTAACTCTGGAACATTTAATAAATGTTGTTCATAAATAAGAATTAGAGCAAGATATATTGAATTATTCAAAAAGTTTATGGTCTTTTTTTATGACAAAATCAAAAACAATTTTCATATATTTATATGTCCATTTATTTAGTAATATGTATAAACAAGTTGTTAAAGATGGCCAAAAGTTGTCGAAAACAACGTACATATATTATTGAATAAAGATGGATTTAAATATATAAAAATTGTTTTTGGTTTAGTCATAAAAATTGCTACAAACTTTCCGAATAACTTAATATATTAAAAGTTTTGAAATACATATGCGTATGTAAACATAAGTTAAAAATAAAAAGAATATGCTTTACACAAACGGGACAAAAATTGAAAACTGATGTTTTACATTTGAAATAATTTATTTAATAAAAGAGCGTATTTTTCGTTATCGATTTCTGCTTGGTTATTTTGAAATATATTTGAAATATAGTCTTGCTATACGCTAATTTCTTCAGAATCTTTCCTAGCCTATCTATGCATCCGTGGTCCCATGGCTTAATTGATTCCATGGTCGAGCACGGAAATTCAAGATTCGTGGTCCCATCGATGATGGTCGAGCACGAATCTTGAAATAACGTTGATAACGATCGACCATCAAAATGGTCGACTATCAACACAGATTTCAGAGCTCTGCGCTAAGCGTCTGATAAAAACCACCGTTCTTGTTAATTTCTTAATGTCAAGAGATACAATTTACGTACGAGAGTGCGTATAATATAATAATGCAAACCGATAATAACAAATCCGGTCGTCTTTTGCTCGGAGATTTTCTTTCCCGACGTGGCGCGCCTCCGTAAAGACGAGCCGGGTCGAAGGCTTGTCCGTGCGAGATGGTCATGCAACCCATCAAGGGGGATCTAATTACAGGGCCCTGCTTCCTGCAGTAATTAATCGGTACGATCCTGAAGATTTATGTAGAACTGCCGCGCAAGCCTTTACGTTCGCTCGGCGAAGGCAGTGTTTGTCTTTCGCGTCTTGAAAGCCGCTATGAAACGTTGCTTTTCTTCCGTGTCGAGTTTCATCATTTATTATTCTTGTAATATCTCCTTAAAGTTCTAATTTTGGTCATCAGCGGTGAAGTTTTTGCGTTGTGAATAGCGAAGAGATTGCCGCTGTAGAAATTTCGAGAGGTCCGAAGAAAATATCTTAAAGAGGACTGCTTTCACGTTTGATTATAAATATCCTCTTTCATGGACTATTTGTGAAACTGGAAGATATGCGTGCACCCTCGGAAGTACCTTAGAAAGTATCCTGCGCGATCCTCTTCGCCGGCATAGTAACATGGTGTTAATATTAGCAACGCAGGAATCCGGCTGATCGTTTGAAATATGAGACGAGAACAATGAGTTTCCGGTCAACTCTGTACCTTGAACAAGCGACAATGGTCTCATTGTCTTACATGCTGTATAAAGATGCACTCCTGTGCCGAGGACTTGCTTGAGAGTCAACTAACCGCAGGATCGTTGGTATGCACGACGGAGATTATATATTAGCTTTATGATTAAATCTAATTATTCCGCTAGAGAAAAGGTTCTAAAATGAAGAAGATAATAAATTTGTTGTGCTTGATTATTTAATTCGTAAAGGAAGAAATGTTAAGAAGAATTAATATCTAATCGTCTTTAGAATCGCTAAAAAATTATTCATTGCCTTTAAGGAGGAATTTATATTTATAAATAAAACATTTCTGTAGAGTAATATCTTTTTACAATAATTTTATGTGTTAAGTTTAATGTAAAAAAACCACACGATATACTTGATAATTTAATAGAAGCATAATAAAATAAACAGAGTTCTAAATTAATAACATTTAAAATTATGATTCATGGAAATATTAAAGAAAGATTCGCAGATTTGCATTGTCTTGTATATTGATTCTATGCAAAATTATCGGACATCGATTGCATTCGATCGTGATGATGTCGTAGACAATACGGATGGGATCGCGATCGGTGTTCTCACGCGCATATCGTTAGCGGATCGTCGCGATTGACCGAACAAAGCGCCGTTAACATATATTCCCGTCACCTGCGAGTAAAAAGTGTGTACGTCCGCTCGTGGATGAACACGTCGCGCTATCAGTTTGTGTCATCGATCATTGCGCAACCGTACGCGCGCGTTACGATATCCATCCGCATTGTTAAACGCCGTGATCTATCACGCGTGTATCGTCTAGCCGCTGCGACCAGCCGATCGGCGGACAATCACCTCTTACGGCGTCGTCGCGCTCGTTAATCTTCGCGATTCCGTCGCGAGGTGAGAAACAACGGCAGGGAGAAAGAAAGAGATCACGAAGATCACAATTGCTCGCCTGGACTATAAACGTATCTCGCGAATCGCGAATTCCTAATGTAACATAACATCACGAGTGCACGGCGATCGTCGTAAAACGCGCTCGTAATCCGTGTGTCGTAATCGATCTAACATCTTGATCCGAACACTAACAATTTTAATATCCTTTGTGTGAACGTAAAATATATTATCGCGACGTTCTCTACTGCAAAATTTGCGAGAATCCGTAGCGTCGTAACATAAATTGAGAAATATTTGAGCAATCTCGTAAATGTGGGTGAACTGTTTCGCAGTATAATATGACTAAAGTACAGAAATGTAAATGATAGTTCTACCACTTTACTTTGTTTGCTTTACATTTGCATTATAAGCGTGAACCAATTCAGAGATGAAACTTCATTTGTGCGGTAACGCAGTGCCATGGGGAATTTAACGTCTCGCGCCAACTATTTCGCGCCTGCATTTACGACGATGACACTCTCGTTAACCCTTCTCACCGTAAGACACAAAGAAAATAAAGCGCGTGTGGCTCTCCGTACCGTCCGCGATAATCAAAACATCCCGTAATAAACCGCGATAACGATCGAGAATTCTAGAGATTCACGGCTAACTGCACTTCCAGCGCGTGCTGCATATTGCTCCATTCTTCAGTCGTCACTCCTCGGTCTCCTCGCGGGCGTCTTCGTACACCTCCAATTTCCGTGACCGCATGTTCCGCGGACGGCGTAAAAAAATGCAACCGCACCGGCGGAGATTAAACGTCCGATAACGTCGAGTCGTTTCATCCGTAAACCGATCTTCAAGTATCGTTCACACAGGACTGAGTCCTTTCATCTTTTCAGGCTAATCTCACTAATGTCAGATAACATTCATCGTAATTGAAGAGTCATTTAACTTCGACTCTCCTTTCTCCCATCCTAATTCTCGAAGCTAATGAAGCAGCAATTAAAACGTTACAGTTCAAGTTCAAGTTGGCGAAATCGATGTGAACGATGCTTCAAGGCGCGCTCTTCTCGCGCGTGGTCAACCACCGCCTTCGGCCCGCTCGCAGTCCAAGAGAGTCCGAGAGACGGAAGGTTACTTAGAAACTCTCGCGGGTGCAAGGTAGTTACCGCGTCCGCTGCAACATT